ACGTTTCAATAAAAATTTCTTAAAAAAAAGTAGAAAGAAAATTTTTAGAGCACCAACTGTAATGAATATAGAAGTTTATATTATACAAAATAGCATATCCAACTAGGCTTCTATTTTTGCTATTGCTTAGATATAGGTTGACAAAAATTTTCTTAGTTATAACCAAAATTACTTTTCAATAACTCTATAGACTTTTATTAGAGAGTCAAACCTACAAAGAGCTGTCTTTTTCAACTCTTTTTTATATAACCTATATGTAATCTGAAACTTTTGAACTTAGATGATATATAGCAAAGTTTTGTTGTATATAAACATACTAACTATATAATTTTCGTAGATCAGTATATATGAAAAAATTGGTGCAGAAGATCATTGAAGAGAGTTCTAACCTAATATATTACTATAATAATAATGTAAATATTATATATATATTAAAAATCAAAAAGTTATATATATAACTAGTTGTACTTTTGTTAATAGATTTTGTATATATAAATATAATCATATGTTACTAATAAAGACATATAAGCAAGATTGTTGCTTCAAGAGAAAAAAAAATATTATGATAATTGTTTCTAATAATTAAGTAAAGATACCTATAATGGTAATTACATTAGCATAACTGGTAGAACATAAGGCATTAGTATAACTAATTATATAGAAAAATGCAAACTAGCATCAGATAATACAAACTTTAGATAAGTTTTTATAATTATATAAAGCTGTAAAATTAAAAAACAAAAAGTTCATTTGAAAAGACCAAATAAAGAAGTAGTATAGATTTTTAATAGTGCTACTGTAAAGACTAAATTTAGAAAATAGATATTAATATAAAAGTATCAAACAGACAAGAATCTCTGAGTAGAAGATATTACTAATTAGGTTACTAGAATAAACTAAAAAAAAAGAATATTATATTAATCTAATATACTAATGAACTAATTATAGTTCTATATAGATTATCTGAATTGAAAGTTTAGAAAACAGGCAAGAGTATACTAAAGTACTGTTACAGGGTTGTAGCCTTTTTGGTACAATACAACCAAGTAACAAGATCACCTAGTTTAGTGATTGACTATAGCAAATATATATAGGGTAAAGGTGTAGTAGTTCACTTTACTACATAGCAGTAGACAAATGATTCGAGATAATAACAGTATATAGATTAACTTTTTATTAATAATACATGGTAACAACCTTGCCTGTAGGAATTACCTTATAGAGAAAATATTATACTTTATTATTAAAAGGTCATTAGGTCTGAATTGAAGTATAAGAACTTAGAATTGGCAGAGAAGGGCAAAAGGTACCCTTTATATATCTTTTTATTTAGTGGGAATAGTAGAGGTTTGAGTAACATCTCTTGATACTGTACTTGGAGTAGTGGGGATTGTGCAGAGACAAGTGGAGTTTATACAAAGATAGTTGGGACAATGTTTATATGTATTTGTCATTTATACTTGAAACACTTGGGGCATATATCAAGGTACTTGAGTTTGTGCAAAGACACTTGGGATTGTGCAGGGACACCTAAGGATTGTGTTAGGATACTTGAGGATTGTGTTGGGGATACTTGGAGATTGTAGAAGGGATACTTGGAATTCTTGTGCTGTGTTATTTGATACAATAAATTGTACTAGAATACATGAAACTTGTATAGAGGTACTTGGGGTTTGTAAAACAATAATGACATTATAGATGTTATCCAATGTTATATGTCTGTATCACACTTCTAATAGCCAATTAAGATCCTATTTTCTAACTACTATATACTATAATATAACTATGCTAATAACTAATAATAAATATAATATAAAATACAATAATAAATATATAACAACTACTAATAATATAATATACTATGCTATGCTAAAAATCTACTTTGTAACAGTACTAGAGATATGCTATAAAATAAATGTTGAAGTTTAAGTAAATTTTACAAAACCATCTTAGTTAAATAATATAATTTTAACTATAAGTATTAGTTTTGCTATAAAGATATCTAGATCAACTATAAAAAATAAATACAGAAGACTTTAAATAATTTAGTTTAAAAATAAAATAATTCTAAAGTTGAAACAATAAGCTGAGTATAATTCAGTAATATTAATACAGATTCAGATTTAAGGGTTTATAATAGAATATCCAACTAAGAGTGTTAGATATAATAATTAGTAAAGAATCTTTGTACAGACTTATTAAATAGGTAATATAAAAGTTACATATATAGTTAATTGTATACTTTTTTTGTAATAGTTTATAAAATCATATTACCAAAAAATTATTAATAAAAATCAAAAAACCAAAGAAATTATTTTAAAAAAAAAACTAATATCAAAATAGTTTGAAGAATTAAAGTTTTAAATAGACAATATCTTTGATTCTATATTAATATATAAAGTAAATTGTTGCTAATAAACTAGAAATATATAAAAAAACTAAAATGCAAATAACTTTTTTAATAGTTTATGTTAAAATCAAACCTTTTTTTTAAGTAGACTTTTAATATATTTAGTATTTAAATCAGAAAAATATTTTAAAAACAATAGAGAAAAACTCCAATTAAAGGTTGTTAAAAACTTAAAAACAAGACAAACAACTAGAAATATTTTTCTTGATTTGGCTTTTTACATAAAATATTTACTAATTTTTCTTGTTTATTTTGGTATTTTTTATTTAAAATAAAAAATTTAACTTTCTTTTATAAAAAATCAATATTGTTTACTATTTTCTTTTTTAGACAGTTATATATATATATATTTTAAAATATTAAGATGAGTATTTGTGACCCAAGATTTATTGACAGTATATTTGGCTAATAGTTGCATTACAATCACAAAAGACAACTATGAAAAGAGTGTATAACTAGTCACTTATATAACTTTAGTTATTATCTAATTTAAGTAATTTACCTGAAGGTTTTATACTAGCTGCTATACCTAAAATCTGCTTATAGGTTTTCTATTTAATTACTTTAGTTTTTCATATTCATCTACCTACTTCTGATTATCAATGACTCTAGCTAATACTGATGAAAATATATCATGATCACTAAGTCTTTAAAGCAGTTCTTTAGAACCTTTGATCTTGTACTAAACCTTCCAAAATCTTTTGTATCCTATTCTTATAGCTAATTCAGTATCACTATGGCTGAGACCAATACTGGTAGTCAGAGCATATTATTAAACCATTATGCTCTTATAGAGTTCATCTCAATCTCAGTACTGACTTCATAATATATTCTTACTAGTTTGGTATTTAATTCAAGTTCTACTAAGCTGCTATTCCAGATAGCCTAAAAAGATAAGTCAAAACTATACATTTCTGATTTATATGTTTGTTGGTATATATCTTTTTCTTCTGAAATCTAGAAATTCTAGTAGCCTGATTGGTTCATCCAGTTTCTTCTCAAAGACCAACATATTTGTCTAATTTCACAAGTTCTAACTTCATTTCATAAGTCTAGTCTTTACAGTAGCATTGTCAAAAGTTCAGATTATCTTTCTATTTAGGTCTTCCAAGTGAGCTTTTATCTTTCTTCTTTTGGTTCTATAATTTATATAGCCACAAGGACTTATTATAGGTTTGCACTGCCTAGTACCAGTTTGCATTTTTTTTATATAATCACAGACCTTGTCCTAAAGAACAATGTTATGTAACTGTTACACAAATACCATGTAACCTGCCAATCATGCTGGTATGACACAAGTAACAAGTATCTTATTCTAACCAATTGTGAGAAATAGTTAACTGTAATACAGAAAGAATTTTTAAATTTTCTATTAATACTAGAATTTGAACTCTGGACCTGCCACTTGAAGGTTGACAATCTAACCACTTTGCTAGGTTATCACATCCTTCTTTTTAAACAGTTATATATTGTAACATGATTTAATAAAAACATAATCATATATATTGTCTAATATATAGTATAATAAAAAATAAAGAAAGTTTTAAGTTGAAGAATTATATATAGTAAATTAAAAATATATAATAATTTCTAAATTATATATATATAATTTTAATCTTTTTAATATAGATTAAAATGTAATTAGATTCTTAACACAAGTTAAAGTATTAGTAATCTTATTGAAACAGTTATAAAAATGTACTTTATAATATTTTTTATTTTATTTTTCTTATAATTCTTTTGATTTAATTTAGATTAGTTTTTTTATTTTTTTTATTTATTTACAAGAAAATGTTATCAAATTGGTAATATTATATTATAGAGCAATGGTTAAGAATAACCTTTTAAATAGTACTTGTTATTGGCTAATATAATAGGTTGCTTTTGGACACTTTTAAAAGCAGCTAAAAAAACTAAACCTAGAAATTAAATTTGTGTTTATTATTAGTACAAAAGTATTAAAGTTAATATTTTTTTTATAAAAACTACTAGCACAACTATCTAAGTAAAAAAAAAATATATATATATTAAATATTATTTAAATAGTTTAAATATTTAAAAAAATAAATTAAAACCAATTTTATAAATCTAAGCAAACAAATTTGTCTGCTAAAGTTTATAACATAAGAGATAAAGTATATAAATTTATTTACAATATAAACTTACTAAAATAATTTAAATTTACCTAAATTGTTTATATTTTTTAAAATTTAAAAAATATTTTTATATAAATTTATAAATAAAATAAAATTAAAAAATTAAATTTAAATAATTTTTTTAAAAAAATAATTTGCTTAAAGCATTAAACAATTATTATTATTTATTGTTTTAAAATATAAAAATTATATTGTTAAATACCCATTTGTATAATAATTTATAAAGCAGTTATTTAATAATCAAACCAAATTTACAATGAGCTTATAATTGAAAATAAATCACACCAATAAAAAATCATATACTGCAAAAAAATTTGTAAACCCTTTCTGATATTTTGAACAAAAATAATATAATATAAATAAAATACATTTATAAATATTTGAAACATAGCCCAAATTCTATATTTATATATTAAAGATAATTATAGTTATAGTCAGGTTCTGCGTTTTGTGCAACCCAAAGCACCACAGAACTAAATTAATAATAAAAAGTAATTAAATAAAGGCATCAAATAGTAATATTCCATTGCTATAATAAATGAATACCTGAGCATGATGGCAACATTTTGAATAACCTCCTCAATTCCAAAATAAATGTAAGGTTGTCCAGCTTCGGGCACAATATGCTTGAGAATTAATATGGTCTGTCACATGAATAACGTTAGTTTCAGCGTAATGACCGATTTCATAACTTTACCAGTTTAAATCCACATACATACCACAGATCCCGCCAAGCCTCCTGCCATCAGAGCAAATCCTACAAATAAAAAAAAGCGGGCTTTCGTTGCAATACCACTTCCAGTGTATGAAAAATTGTCGGCTGTGAGACGACTTTTATCAATCGAGTTAACGCTGTATAGCATAGAAACCGATAAATTTGTAATATTTTAAATTTTGTACACATATAAGGAGGTATCTTAATTGGTGCAAAACAGGATTACAATTTAATATCTAATATCCCAAATTTTTTCGTTTACCCACATTAGCATTCCTAGAGTACTGGAAATCCCGCACATCCAATCTTCGAAACCTATTGCCGGTTGAGTATCATTATCTATAGTGTTGGAAAGAACCACAGCATCGATGAAAAACCACCAGCCTAGGGCAAACTAAATTGTGAAAGTTTGAATCGGAACATAAAATTCAAAAGCAGTTTACACAAATGCAAGGCATACTTTATACTTGTAGCATTAAAAAAAACATGTTCGAAGAGAACTCATACCAAACTGCCTGAAACGTAAACCCCAAGGTCTCGCTTCTTTTCTATGAATTGAGTGAAACTTGGGAAAGGAAGAAGGCAAACACGGTGGTTATCGTAGTCAGGAAAATGTCTTGACATGATAATTTGGAATTAGATTTGCAATTTCTCTTTGTTCCCTTTTATATTATAGGAAGACATTCATATGATTGGTCAATTTTTGTAGACCCACCCGTGATCTAGTACCCTAGCCATGGCGAAAAAAAGTGTCGGGTAAGTGAGATTCTACTCGAACCACATGATGATCTGCACATACTGGCCAATCAGAGTTAACCACTATTTAACAATTTTTCTTACACTAACGCTAACGCTAAAAACTCTTTTTTTATTGTATATAACCCTTCGCTTCGCTAACTATTTTATTTATATTAATTATAAATAAAATAATATTTATATATTTCTTTATTTCTGTTAATTTAGTCATGATAATAACAACTATTTACTATCTAAATATTCAACTACTTTTATTTCTTTTTCAACTGGCAAGTACTGTATGTATACGTTTTATTTATTAAGCTATTTGCAATAATTTATTCATTAATTTCTTACTCACGCTAATATAGACAATAAATTACCTCTTAGTTTTTTATTTAAGTTGTTTCGCCAGTATATTTAACGATCAAAGGTACTTAAAATAATCTAATTTCTTTTACTTATGCTGATTTTGTTAATAGATTATTTTTCCTTCTCAAATTGATTCGTCTGGTAAATATAATATTTATTTATTTATTAGCATGTTTGTAATAATCTATTATCAACTCATTAATTTTCTCTTCAATTATTGACATATCTGGTGAATATAATACGTATCATTTATTAGTTGGCATGCTTGAAATAATCTATTCACATTAATTTTATTCATGTCAATTTAGTTGATACGTAGTAACGATTTAATATATATGAGTGACGAAAAGGGAAAACCTGTAAATCATTTTACATAAGTGAAATGATTTACAGGTTTTCCTTTTTCATCACTTATATACTTTTATTTTTTATTTTTTAGTTTACTTAAGATACTAATACATATAATCTAATGTATGCTAATTTGATCGGTAATATAGAATAGGGGTTGAAAAAGATGAGGATAAAGCATTCATTCATTATCAAAAATCTGCAGATATTAATAATCTAAATAGAATGTATCAAGTTGGTTATTGTTATTATTTAGGAATTGGGGTTGAAATAGATAAGTGTTTATAGTAATAAAGTTGGATATATAATTATTTTATCAATTAATGTAGCCAAAAGGCAAGTTTTTTATTGTTTGATTTTTGAGTGTTTTGCTGTCTACAGGCTTGCAAAACTTCTTTACATTCATCAACTGCTTTTACAAATGGTCCTATTAAAGTATCATAATTTTTTATAAAGCTGTCATTATCTATTTCTTTTTTATACAATTCTAATGCCTTCTTAAAATTTTTTTTATAATAAATATATTTTTTTTGCCTCTCTTTTATTTTATTTTTCTGTGCTATTATTAATGTGTTTCGTAAGCTACTTAAATAACTATCCTTTGTAACAGGATTCTCAAGATCAGAATTTGCTTTCAGAATAGTTATCCTAACTATTTTCCATAGATCATTTTGTTGAAAAATTGCTAGAGGTTTATTTTTTCTAAAAAAAATAAATAGATAATCATATCATCTTGTTGTTTCATTAAAGGTAGGTCAAAAATTTTTTTTCTTCTTTGTAACTAAATGCTTACAAAGAAGATAACAGTTATTTACATATGCTAGGTAAGAATATACCCAATTATCTAAATCTACTTGATATCTTTCATCTATATTAGACATAATATCTGCAGACATAGTCTTATCTCAATCTTTTTTAAAGGCCTGTCACCAAAATGGAAAATGCTGACTTATGTTATAGTGGGTCAACATTATGTTAAAGTCTGGCATTAGTTGTTCAACAAGAATATTAATAAGACGATCAAGCTGAGGCCTATTGTAGTTATACTTATACTTATACTTAAGTACTCATCAATGACTTTCCATAATCATAGTAGTTTAGGCTAAAGGCATTGTGAATGAATAAGAAGAACGAGCAAATATCATCCAATTTTTTTTATTATACCAATTTAGCCAAAAGTATCTTCACAATTCACAATACCCATGATTATAATAGAAAAAATAAATCTCTTGGACACAATAGTAATATATCTGTGCTGAATTCCAAAAAATATTTTTTTCTATTAGAATTAATGGATGCATATTCGCATGCTATTTAATTATACTAATAATTTCATTAAATGTTTCTTCAGGACATAAACTTTTAATATTACTAGTTGAAATCTATAACAGGTCTATGAAATTGAACTGTTGATGAGTTTCTAATGCTTTTGTATTAGTATAAGTATTTGATTGTAGTTTTTTGTCTTTCAAACATCTTCTAATAACATGTTCAAAATGCCAATAGCATAACTGAATGTTTGCTTTTAACCAAGCTACACTAACAGCTAAAATTTGACCAATATCTTTATTCAATAGTGCAAATGAAGGCAGCAATCCTTCTTTATGAAGGTTAATAAAGAATTTTTTAAGAACTTGTACATAGGTAATAACTTCATCTTCAGGATAATGATCTACTTTATGATTGTCTGATACTAATAAATATAAATATGCAAGTGGTATGTCATACCCATTATGGTTAGAATTTACAACAAAAAGTTCAAATCATTCTTGATTTGTTTTAAATGTAGAATCTACTACAATCTTATTTATCTTTTCTACACTAATTTGATTAAGTAATGGAGTAGCAAATCCTAAAATATACACAAAATTATTATCAAAATAAGAAAGAATTTTAAATCTTCTAGCTGCAATTTCAGGCCATTCAAGATATGCTTTAGATGATAAAAGCTAGTTATCTTGGTTTGTAATATAAGTTTGTTTACTATAAACTGATATCCAGTAATATACTTGTTCTTTTGTATATATTAAATTAATTAATTTATTCTCAATTAGATACCTGTAAAGTTCTGAACTTCGTAAATTATAATTAAGATGCCTTTGAATCCATTGTTTTGCTTCTTCTGGAAATTTTGTTTGTCAATATAATAAGTGTTTATGTAAGCACAAATGCTCACATTGTACACTTGCATATTGTTGAATTATATTTATATTAATTGTAACTTTGTCTTTACAAGAGAATCGTTTTATTGCAGCACAAGCTTCACTTTGTCTTTTTACCTCCTGGTTATCTGATCTTTGCCAGTCTCGGTCTTCACATAATACACAATTGAAGTATGCTGTAGCACTTCCTGCAAATTCTTTTTTTTTAAAGTTTATACATAATTTTCACACTTCCCAATAATATTTAGATCCAGATTCTAATAATAAAATAAGAATTTTAGTAAGTTGTGCAAAGCTATTTTTGATTTTCTTCAAATCTAATAGATTCGTTTCAAGATCTTGGCTAAGTGCAACACTATCTAAAAGTTTTGGATCTAATTCAATTTCGAATGCAAATTTTGTTGGCTTATCGGATAATTCAGCATTCTGAAACTGCATAGAAATGAATTGCTCTATTTCATCCATACAGTATATAAGTGTATCAACATTATCATAATGCTCTGTTATTTTTATCACATCTGCAAATTCATCATCAAAATGATTAGGTCCTAATACTGGTTCAGGATTATAATTTTCAAGGATATTATTGATTTGGAAAAAGTTTGAAGCATTATTAATTTTAGACTAGAGGTGCTAACAGTCAGAACTGTTATATTAAAGTAAGTTTGATTTGTTTGTTTTATTTGTCTCTTTTTACTATGTCTTTTAGAGCATGTATTACAGGTCACATGTTCATATAATGGATTATCACTATGAGGTTAGCAAAAAACTTTTATTTTCTTTACTGTGTGACAACTATTACATTTTTTAGTTTTAGAGGTTTGGGCTGATAAACTGTTTTCACTCATTTTTGTTAAAGATAATTTATAATAGAATGGTTAAAATTTATTGAAATAAATATAAGATGATTTTGAATAATATTTATTTAAAATTCAGATTGAAGTTTAATCTTTATTTGAGGTTGAAAAGCATGATTTATATATATTTTTCAACTATATTCACTATAATTTTTTTTTTTTTTGTAAGCTTACACATTTACACAATCATAATTGCATAATTATGTTCTTGTAAACCTGATAAACAGTGTTGGCACCGAACATAATATGTCCATCTATTTTTAATGCTACTGAACTGAACTGGACATGTACATTAGACATATACTTGAATATAGTCTAGTCCAATATGTCTAGTCATTTACTGAAATTTTTTTTTTAAATTAAAAACTAGCTTGTCAATTAAATTATATTATAGTGTGATTAATGTGCTTAAAAAATAATTATACAAGAGTATAAAATTTTTAAATAATTATCATTAATTTTTTTTTTTTTTGGTATTAAGGTGAGGCCTTGCTCGTATCTTTATTGGTAGTTTAAAAATTAGTAGCTACATGG